TAACCCTGTTTTAAATACCCAACTCTTTTTTAGCCTCGCTTGACTGCACTTAAGAGAAAAACTAGGTGTGCAAAAAGCTTCCATTTCTAACATGAAACAGAGCTCTTTAAGGATAATTTGTGATCGAAATATCAAAACACAAGCCTTACAAGTGATTTAACAACAAAAAATGGTAATAAAGCGTTGTTTATTCTGAGGAATCGCCCGCACTATTTGTGGCCGAGAACTGGACCCGCTGGCCGATAACTGGGCCCACGAACGAAGCCTCCATTTTCGTTATTACTCGGGAGAAAACAGCGTTCAGCAGTCGATAGCTCTACATGTGTAAACTGAATGCTGAAACTAGTTGTGCATGAAATTTTAAGTCCTTACGGCTATTCCAAGGTAAGAAATACAAGTTTACGTTTTTTGTGGTCGAGAACTGGGCCCCATACTGTATATAATCGCAGCTTCTTAACTTACCACTCATCTGAAATAGCATTTTTTTGGTCAGTGTTTTGTCCATCACCAGAAAATAAACACAACACAATGTTGCAACCCGGACCGCTCGATCCGGAGTCCAAGTAAGCTTATGTAATTCAACGATATTACCTTCAAGCCTTTTAAACTCCTGCGTTCTGATTTCATCAATTTGTCCAGCATATCCATACTGTTTTCCAAAGGAGTCCATACACTCATTTCCCTCAGCTCGTTCACTCATACTTCTGTTCACTTTTCCAGGTGGTTGTTTGTTCCTTGATCCTGGATTTTCCAGGATTCGAGTATACAATGTTCAAGTGCAGCGGTTGTTAATAAATGACGTAAGCATTTCATGTATCCAATATTACAGTGTATTTAGAATAGACAGAGGCTTAGAGGACACAAACCAGACATAAACAAAGGAAATCGAATGACCATGTTCATTCATTTCTCTTGAGTGTGTCTCACTAGGCCTCACCATCAAGCTGAATTTTCATATATCGAAAGTGGCCTATTCCTTATATTTCATCTTTTTGTCCCTATTCCCTTGCCCTGGGTGCCAGAGGTTTTTTTTTTTTCTTTTTTCTTTTTTTTTTTGCCAGAGGTTTTTCTTGCGCAGTTTCCGGTGTCGGTCATGTCTCTATTGTGACCCGTGCGAAAAACCTCGTTCGCCACTCGTGGCTGCCGAAGCGAAGCGAAGTATTTCCGTCCGCCGCGCACGAGAAAAAAATCTCTAGTACCCAGGGTACTATTCCCTATTCTTCTCTACCTCCCTACATTCCCTGTATTTTTCTGTGCTCTCCCATATTCTCATGCTTTCTTCCGTATTTCCCTGTATTCTCTTTTACTTTCCAACATTCCCCTGTATTCTCTTGTATTCTCTTCTAGGGGTGGCGAATTGGGGGTGTGTACGCGATGACGTAATTGTCATGAGACCGAAAGTGTTTTTGGGACACGTTGAATGTTATTATTAACCGCGCGGCCATGGGCCGAGCGCGGTTC